ATACATGGCGATAGTTTTCATATACCATAATTCATTTGATATTGATATTGTATAATTCAACAAAAATAATCTCGTAATCAATTGCTATGACCCTTATGGACTGTTCGAATTTTCGATCTTTTTTAGTGCATCACGCATACAAAATAGGATTTTCCACACCAAAAAAGATTGTAGATTATAAAGTATGATTAAGCCACGTTATGTACATAAATCCATATCAGACATAATTAGCATTAGTTTAGACACGCGATTCTGAAGCCCGAAAAGTTTACCTTACATGAGATTCCGTCAAACTATTGACTGACCCCTTGTGTAGTCCATCCATTAATGAATTAAGAAGTTTATTGACAGGAAATATAAGAAATAACAGATATATTTTTGCTGAAACACGCAATTCTGAAGCCTAAAAAGTTTATCTTACATGAAGATTCCGTCAAATCTATTGACCACCCCTTATGCAGTTCTCCCATTGAAATTTGTGCAATACCTTAACGAAGTAAAATTTCACGCGACACTATCGAAATTAAGTTTAGTTTATTGTGACTGTCTCTAAGAAATGTAATTCACGCGATTTTCCAAGACTAAAAGATTATGACTCCTAAAAATATATTTTAGAGAGATGGTTTTTTTTTCACTGAAACACATAATTTTGGGGTTTTAAAAAAACACCTTCAAAATCAGAAAATACATATATATCCACGATTTTTCCTTAAAGGCTTAAATTGCCAAATCAATTAATTATGTCTCAATCCAACAATTGGTGGAATTTCTACGTTGATGGCTGTCTTTGCAGTTTATGTATAGAATACTGCATTAGATATGGAATACAACTAACCGATGAACAGCATAAAAAAATGACAAACCGTTATCAAGATGTTTCAGATTACCATCTACATGTAAAAGACAGAAATCCTCAAATAGAGGAAATTGATAATACTCGTGATATGAATTCTTTACACTTCCAGCCAAATAATCAAACCTCTCAACAAATTATTTATCATACGAATTCTCAACACGTCCAGCCTTCGCAATCCAATATCAATAATCAAGCCTCTCGACAAATTGTTCGCCAAACCAACTTACATAATGATTTCCTACAGCAGATTATTTCCCAAAATCACATACTGATTACGATGATTCAAAACATATCTAATATACCTTCTGTCTTTACCAATATTCAAAATACACCTCAGCTTTCGGTTCCCCAGAACAATGATACTATTATTACCAATTCTCCAAATATACGTCAGTCTTCGGTTTCCCAGAACAATGATAATATTTTTACCAACACACCTCAGCCTTCAGTTCCCCAAAACAATGTTAATACTATCTCTCCTCAAAATTCATCGAGCAAACATCAAATCAATATTTGTGATTCTTGCATGAATAGCAATTTTTCTAATATAGTCACAGAACCATCGAGCAAACATCAAATCAATATTTGTGATTCTTGCATGAAGAGCAATTTTTCTAGTCAAACCACAAGTGTATCCGTTTCTCATATTAACAATAATCAGATAATTTCCAATCAAGTTAATAATACTCCCGATCCGCAAAACACAACTCCGACTCAACAGATTTCAAATTGCACTACCGTAAATATCAACTCCTTCTCGTGGAAACTTGGATATGTTATTATCATATTTGGCCTTGTCTTTTTAGTAGGAATTATTTTTTACGTTATCAAGCAATTATCGGTCGTATCTTTATACGAAGAAATCGGAAGTTTGTTCTTTACTATAAAGATAGATTTAGGCCAGTTTGTAAAAATCTTGGGACCTACTATAATTGGTGGCATCGTGAATTGGATCATGAAACAAAGAAATGGTATAAAAAATTAATAATATCTTTTTCATATGGATGTAGTTAAATAGCAACATTTTTAGTAGCACATTCGATTCTATTTTTTCTTTTTTTTTGATTTTCTCTTTTTGATTTTCTTTTTTTCCAGACAACCTCAACCCATTAGATTTTGTTCATTTAATGTCCTTTTATTATGAATGATTTTTTTACAACAGCGATTTTATAATTAGCTTTTTAGATAATAAAAACTACGTTTACTTGGAGGCTGTTAAAGTCACGAAATTCATCACATTAATGCAATAAAATGCCACGTGTTATTTTTATAAAAATTGCGTGGGTCACCCATCTAAGTTGTAGATACAGTCAAACCTCTATATATGCACGCTCTATATATGCACACCCTCTATAATTACACTCTATACCTCAGTCCCAACTAGTGATGTGCCGCGTATAGGAATAGTACAGTACGCAAAAAAAAACATTTAGAATATTCTAGAACAAATTATAAAACCATACTATACATATTGCACATGCTATACATACTGTACGCTAAAACAATTTGGATATCATATACTGTAAATGGCACATCACTAGTCCCAACTAATAATAACACTCTATAAATGCACACTTATGGTCGGTCCCAAGGGGGTGCATATATGGAGGTTTGACTGTATAAAGATTAATTAATTGATGATGATGTTCATTTTGTAATTTCCTCACTTTTAGTAAAATTTCCTGCGATATCAAATCGCGTACTAAAGCGCGTACTAAATATATATACACAAATTTATAAATTCACGTGTTTAAACGCCAAAGTCGCCGGAAGGACGGGCGTCATAAAATATACCCGGGTATAGAGTACTCAAAAATAAAGTGCAAAAACCACATGAATGGTAAATGTACGTGTAAATCACATGATTTGGCGTTATAATCGAACTACCCCAGGATCGCCATCAAAAATGTCACTGTCACGTGACAATCGACCAATAATTAATCACAATTTGGTGTAACGTGACACGATCACGAAGATCCAAAACAAACGTCAATTTTTCAAAAATCGTTCATTTCTCAAAAATTCACATAAGAAACCGCCTTTTAGTACTAACAAAAAAAATTCCTTGAGTAATTTTACTATAACCCCTTCAATCTTTAACATTAGTATAAACGCTAACCCTAACATAAACGAACTTAAAAGTTTTTTTCGACGATCACGTGACAGTGACATTTTTGATGGCGATGCAGTGGAAGATTTATAATCGTAATATTTTAATAGGAATAAAATTATTCTCTCACCTCCGTACAAAACAAACAAAAGAGCACTATCGATGATACTACAAACTTAATTTGTCAATTCTTTATAGAATTTATTTTAGTTCCAACATAATTTCTATACCGCTACACAGAATTTTACAGTAAATGAAAAATCCAAAATTTGTTTAATCATCACATCAATTTCTGAATAACATAATTGACATTAATAATAATTGACAACAGGTAAAAATAATGAACAAATAAAATGCATGTCCTATAAATCCCGATTTCGCAAAATGATGAATATTAAATTCGCCAACAAATAAGACTGCAGAATATAAAAAAATAATTAATATTGAATTCGAGTCAAAACTGTAAATATGATGGCGAGAAACGTACCTGATAAACAAAACCACCCAATGTAATTCCAATAAAAAAAACAACAAAAAAAGAAACAGATAATAACAAACATGAACCACCATGTTGCATCTCTTATAAAATCATTAGATTTTGATTGCGCAAAGCGACGAATGTTAAGTTCAACTTCAATTAAGACTGAAAATAAAAAATAATTAATTTTGTTCTCGAGTCAAACATTTTAAATATAATGAGAGATGAACTATATTTACCCCATAAGCAAAATAATCCAACAAGATTTAAATAAGAAAACCAACCGCTGTTAATGGATGAATACCAATTCCACATCGAAATTGCAATTCTTAAACTGAAGGCAAGATTCTCGAATTTTTCATCATTGATTAATAATTGTAGTACTGCTAAAGGACAAAAAATCATGAAATTCATATTGTAGACATTTACTACGTCTTCATAGTACAAAGTGACATTTTCGATCCATAGTTCAATTGAAAATCCTAGGATAAATGCCAATACCTAAAAATACAAAAAATATGACCTCAACTATAGCAATGTGGCGAATTTAAAATAAAAGCCAATCACAAATACATAATTAAACAGTAATTTACATCCGTATAGTGATAGTGCACATTACATGATTTTAAAATAAATAAACATACCCTAACAATATACAAACTAGTATAAACTCCGAAAGCAAGAATTCCGAAAGTCATATAAACTTTGAATAAATGAAATCGTACATCTCGTTTAGAATCTTGACTTGTAGTCATTTTTACAAGTTAAAAAGGCTAAAATTTTGGAAATAGAATAGCAAAAGCTGCCATGATAAGATTTATGCATTATATATAATAATATTAATAGCATATATACTCATTTTACTATCGAGAAAAACATATAAAGCAAGATTTTTTATGTTCAGTTATTCTATAAATAGTATATAATTAGTATATTGCAGATCTTATACATTTTTTTAAACCTGTTTTTTAAAGATTTAACGTTAGAGGTACTAAATAAGCGCATAGACTAGAATTTTTATTACCTTTTTATATTATCTTTTATATATCAATTTATTTTAAACTTACAATATATGGTGCTGGGTTCTATACACAGCTATCTTTTTTGCACGGGAATTCAAGAACAGAAATCTGATAAATTGGCATCGTTCAATCACCCCTTATCTTTGTGTAGGGCCAGAAGGGACCTTTTCTAAATATTTAGGTATTTTTTTTCTGAAAAAAAACGTGCACACGATTTAATTAACACAGGTTGCATATTGACTTGATAAGAAAGAAATGTGTGGCAGAATTACGTTCGCTTATTATAGGTTTTCATGCCATCATATTAATACAGTAAATATTTTTACATAATCATGCTAATAGCTTACCTTTTTTCTTCTCAAAAAAGGTCAATTATAATGAAATTAGAGAATAAAAATTTCATTCAGCTCTTGGTTCCAAACCAAGGTAAGAAAATAAAACAGGATGAATTTATTACCTTACGATGGGCTTAAAATAATGAACTTTTTGAAGCAGTGCGTTTAATAACTAACACAATCTTTCCTTGTGCGTTAGTCAATATTCCTAATAATTATTCGCCTAACGTTTTGAATAGGTATTAATTTTAAATATCAGATAATTATTTGAAAGTTGATGAATAGAAATTTTTAAAATATTTTAATCTTATTTCATTCTCATTGATATAGGACTGATGGTAATATTCTGAGCAGGTATGATAATTCTTTTATTAAATGTACAATTTCTTGAGTGGAATTTAATTTTTTATTGTCAATATAACACATACAGGCGTGTTATATCTCAGCGAAAGCTTCGTGAAAGTATCAATCGTGGTTATGAAAAGCTTCGAAACCTGATTCACTTTGGGTTTGCTATGAGTAAGGCAGACTTGTTGCAGAATGGTAAACTACATTTCTATTATATTTTTTTGACACATAATATTAGTATACATTTCACCAAATACTAATAAGACGATTCTTTTGGAAAGCCGCCACTCTTTTAGAAAATCAACAAAATAAGATATCTTTGTTATCAGCAGAAAACATTTACCTTGTTGGACTCGTTGAAAAATTAAAAGAGTACTATAAGAATTATATTCGTCTGAATGAAAAACTTGATGAGAAAAAAATGTATGTTGTCTGAATTTTATTAGTTCGCCAATTAATTTGAACTGACAAGAATGGTATATAATAACAATTTAACCTCAGTGAAATCGATCGTCTGAATTTAAAACTTGATGAGATGGAAAAGTAAGCTCTCTGAATTCTATAGTTTATTAATCAAGTTAAATGTCCAAAATGTATAACAATTTAATTTTTATTAAAGGTTGAGTAAATTTCAAGAAAATTACATCAAAAAATTGGAGGACGGAGAGGGAACTCTTATTTTTCAATTATACGATATAATTGGACAGCAACAAAACGAATCGAACAAGAGAAAATGAAGAATGATATTGTACCCAATATAAATTGATTGGGTTCTTTGTTATTGTTTTGATATTCAAAACTTTGCTTTATTATTCTTTGAAAGAATAAAGATTTTTTTCTTAACAGTGAATACAGATTGTGAATTTAAAAAAGTTGACAGTAATTTGATCGTAGAATTGAATAACGAGAATATATGTTGAAAATGTTCAATTTGTGATTATCTAGAAATTTAGAAAAGAATCACATTCGATTGGACTATAATTCCTCATCTTAGTTGTTGCTTTATTGTTATTTGCACACCAAATTTTAGAGGAAAGATACTCTGATTTTGCAACTGACGCAATTTGTCAAATTGCTCCCATGACCTTGGGACTTTTTTGTGATTGGTTAATCATATGAATTGAGTGATTGGTTAATCATATGACAAATTAGATCAGCTGTTATTGGTTTATGACGCAATTCGTGTTTAAAATTGATACGAGTAATGTCTTGAAAATTTAGTATCATTGATGCTTAAAATATGATTTAAAAAATAATATATTTAAATATCAAGAGCTCAATTCATCAGTATTTGCCGATGACTTTGAATGACCTATATGATCTCTATGACCTGTCCTAGGTCATTTTGTCATAACTAAGGTTGATATGACTTTATGACCGGTCCTAGGTCATTTTTTCATAACTAAGGTAGATATGACTTTATGACCTT